CAATTTCATGTGGAAAATTTGAGCTCTTATCTTGTTTCTTTCAAATTTCCGACTTGACTATTTAGATGGTATCTTCAAACATGGGACATTCCAAGACACTTTTGCACAGTATTAAATAGTATTCACACTTGTAGAAAATAAAATTATAAGGAAAGAAAAGAATTAATTATCTTTAAATTTATGTCTGTTATATTAGTTTCATTTCAATAGATTTTGAGCTATAGTAACACAATGACTTTTTTTCTGAGTCATCGGTGTGCTTTAAAGCAGTGATTTCTACCATTTTCTGACTGGAAATACATTTAACTGGCGCAGTAATGTAGATTTTCAGTCATTATTGCTTATTTTTGTTTCTAATCCTCCTGATGTTTAGCCGAGTGCGAGACGAAATTCCTGAATTAATTCTAGTAGTTATAACTGGCCAAGACTTTGGATACCGTGTAAGGGACTTTAAGTTCCTAGCGAACGGACTGGCTGCATGGGAGTTTTCCTGGTATTCACCATATGGAAAGTGATGGTAAGTGGATACGAATCAGTTTACTTTTGAAGTTTCCCATGAAGACATCCTTTCCCATCGACAGGCAATCTTCGAACTGCTTTTTCCCAGTTAGTTAATCCATTCTCATTCAATCCTTAGGTGGCATTATAAGATCTAACCTTCTTTTCTAGCAGCAATGTGACTAGATCTAAATCTTAAACCTGGCGACTTCTCGCACAGGTTTCTAGATGAACACAACTGAGAAGGGTGTAAAAACCCCTTTATTTATCGCAAATAAGTAACAGATGACACGATCTTACGTGCTTACACAAAAGAAATCCACTTACGGTGAGATCTTTAACGATAACAATAAATTTAAAAGGTAAGGAGATAGTGCTAGGCTACACAATTTTAATTTGATCTAGCAGGTTTACTCGGAGCCCACACCGGCGATATACTAATTAGATGGTCAGAATGCGTAGCCGCTACTAAGAACAACAACTGGGGGACAAAATAGCAAACATGCTCTTCACTAGCGAAATCACGCTGTGATGTCTAACCCTTTCGTTTCAACAGTTTAAATACTCCCGTTCATCTACTTAATTTACATCCTGGCGAGGAAATGCGAGAGGAAAACAGAGAATTCAGGAAAGGCTACAAAATTAAAATAACTGTTAGAACAACTAAACAGGCCACTATAACACAATTTGCCCAACTCTGTCCCATTTTTAATGGAGTCAATCCAAATGTCTGATACCTCTTTTACCTTATCGCCAGTCTTTGTCTCGAGAGTGTCTGAAGGGCCGCCATGTTGCAAACATACTATGTATTTAAAACAGCCATGCCTATTTTCGGACTCGTATACCGACTAAGCGGAATGGCGGGCTGTACCTTATGAATCAGGTTTGCTGCTTATACGATAATATTATATTCTCATTTACAGATTTGCTTAAGAGTTGTGCTTAGGCTGTTTCACAGATTATGCCAAGATGTGTCTTACTATGGAGAGACCATCGAGGCCGTTTAATTAATGTTCACAATGCAAAAAGAAATTTTTTAAATGCTTCATCTGATAGTCTTTTTATTTCCGAGCAGTAAATCTGCATCGTGGTTTCCATGAAATTAGAAGTTGCAGTTTGAAATTGCATATTCACCAAAATTTGTATTATATAATAACATTTAATCATTATATTTAATTACGAAAATGATATTGCACTGAATTATCTTCTTAAACAGAGACTTAGATGATGTTTAACGACCATAATTCGGAATCAGAGCTGGTTCATAATCTGAAAAATACGGTCGTTTTCATGGCTCATGGTCGTTTTCCTGAATGATGATGACAGTTTGGAATAAATGAGAATAAAATTTCTCATTAAAGAATTTGCAGGGCTAGTTTTAGCCACGGTATTTTGAACCATTGCACTATGTTATGTTTGGTAACGTTAATCATCCACATGACTTGAGGAATATTCCATTTTGCGAAAGAAAATCTTTAATTGATTTATTTAATAATACTTTGGATAGATTTTCGAGTCGGCTTCTGAAAACAGCCAGTGTGCTCCTAAACAGCGAATGATGGAGAAGACCAACAAGTTTAAATAAATATTAATAATATAAACTATTATAATATTTGCTACACAATGTTTTTGGTCTGCTATTCCTTACATCAGTAGTCTTCAATCTTTTTTGAGTCAAGGAATATACAAAACAATATTTTATTTCATGAAGCTTCTGACTTCTTGAGAAAAGCAAAAGTAATATATTTTTTATATGGAAAACGGCAAAAAAACAATATGTCATCAAACTTTTATTCATAAAAATAGATCTTCGTCATTATTATTTTAGGTAACAACAGCAATATATTATTGAATTACAGAAAAATATTATTTAATTAATTATTCTATACATTACATTTGTTGTCCTTGCGGCATTCAAAAATTCTTTCGAATTTTGGTTTTGACTTGCGAAACCATCACAACACTTACATGGTATACCAAGATTCTGCAGAACACAGCTTGAAGATCACTGTTCTATGATGATCAATTTTAAATTCATGTTTCTTTTTTATAAAAGAACGCGGAATTAAGAAAGTCTCTCCAAAGATCTTAACACTTACGGAAATTCTTACATAAAAGACTACCTGGATCGTAAAAACTTCAAAAAAGAAGAAAAATCTGAAAGTTTTCAGATTTTATATTACGTTCAAAGGGGCTTTTTTTTTTAACGTTTTGTGTGTTACCTTTATTTATTAAATATTATGTTATGTTCACTTAAACCATAAAATTTAGTTCAATAGCGATGTCGTAAAATAATTTTAAAATGAGTATATCTTTAGAATTTCCGATACACAGTTCCCCGCCGCTGATCTGAAGAAAAGGGTTCCCTTCCCCGTTATAGTGTTGCCATTACTGGCTTTAAATCGTTGAGTTGTTACTCAAAAATTCGTTTAAAGGTTTTACAAAATAGGAAATCGATATAATTTAAAACAAAATTCAAAAATTTCAATTTGGTCTTTCCCAATGCCCACATTCGTAGGAGGAGGATTACTCATTCAAAAAAATTCGATGGCTCTATTCACCGTTGTTTTATCACCAATGCGAGAGAAATATAATACATTTAATGCAGATTTTTCATTATTTAATTTCTTCAATATAATGCAGGACTCTAACATTTTGGTGGCAACAGTTTGAAAAGTGAAACGGACATTTATAGTGATTCAACGCAAAATCGCAAAACGAAAACAATAGTCCTTCAGGGACAAAGCTCCTTTGGACTAATAAAACTTGAAATTTTTTCGCTAATTTGTTTCCACGCATATCTGTACATTAGATTAGGTGTTTAAAATCTATCATCGTATAAGCACAAGAGATATCAGCAAAATCTTTATAAATTGCTTAAAATTCTTTCATACTTTTGATGGAAACTTTATATTTTTTGTGTGTGTTTTCGGAAATGTCAACCAGATTCCAACTATTAAATAGTTGTAAAATCTTTCCATAACAGTTGTCATATTTTCAAATAGTGTACCAAACATTATTTCTGGGAATGAAATGCTTTTATAGAAGAACGAATGATAATAAAAAATTTTTTTGTAAGACTGCAATAAAATACTTTAAAATTAGTTTCGAAGTTCATTCCGAGTACCAAATTTCCAAAGCTTGAATAAAAGTGTTTTCGGGACAATGCAATTATGAAAAAAACATCAACGTTCAGAACTGTAATTACAAAACATCTTTGTTCTTTTTATGTTTCTGCAAGCCTGCCTTCCAACGGCAGACAGAAGAAGCTGATATTTATAAAGACATCTGTATTTCTTGGAAGGGTAGTTGTCACGTTTATTCAAGAATGATACGAATTTTGTTCTCGATTTTTTAAACAAAAACACATAATAATAGTAATTATTTATACAATTTGGGTGTTATAATTGATAATTGTGTCAATAAATAAATTTAGATCGTCTACTTTCGTCATTTGCAGTCTAAAAGTAATATAGATTTCAAATTTGTTTTGCGAAAAAAAAGTTTTCTTTTTTTTAACAAATTCACTTGTTACTAAATGTAATTATGCTTAGTTAGTAAGTTCATTAGTAAGTTTGTAAAGACATTAAATATTTTTTTGGAGCCAGAGAGAGAGGAAAAATTTTCAGCGCCTTCGCCGGGAATCGAACCACGGACCTCTGGAATACCGGCCCAGAGTGCTACCGTTACACCACGAAGGCACGTTGGAAAGCGGGAGAACTACCTTATAAGTTTTGTGCTTTTTATAAAGAGCTTTTAAAGAGGTTGAACACATTGAAAACATCTTGATTGTGCGGATTTTCTATCATTAATGTTGATAGTTACTCAGAAGCATATTTTGCTCATTCTAAAATCGTTAATCTTTCTTTTCTACATCTGTAACATTAACATCTATAACATTGTTTCCCTTGCTATGTAAAAGTTTTACGCGGCTTGCACTTTGAGGAAAAATTTTATTACAACACTTGAAACGTTTTTCTGTTCATGATTTTCAATATTTTTGAAGCATTCTTTGAATGTTCATTTGCATTTTCAGATGAACTTTTGTCAATCTTCTTTTTAAATGTTACGAGAGTTTAAAGCATGAAACATATTTTCAATAGGCAATATAGAAAATGAAAAGTTATGTTAAGGGTCTTTTTGTAACCTCAAAAACTTTAACTAGTATTTAAATATCCTTTATCTAATAGAAACTTACCTAAATATTAATTCATGCCTTCCATGTTCTTTACCACAGGTCTTAGATCCCCCTTCATTATTAAAATTCAGTAACTTTTATTTAATCAAAGAACATGATGAATTCATTGAAATTTCATTGCAGTGACTAACACGTACCTCAAAAACAAATTATAATTTAGATTCGTAAGTTGCAACTATTCGTTATTTATCTAAAACAACGTTTTGAGGTGTTTACTGGAATAACAGTTAGAGTCCTTTACAATTGCAATATAATTCAGTGAAAAATAGTTAGTTGTAAATGATTTAATAGAATGCATAATCACCTGAAGATATTCTCCATACAGCATATTTGGATGCTTCTCTCCGGTGGATGAGTTGTCAGAAGTGACATCATTTTTGTCATTCCTTGATACTTCACTAAAGCTGAAAAATCAAGAAAAAGATAAATAACGCTATATTTATAAAACTTAAAACAAGAGTAACACCTTTCTTAAATTACGTAACGTTAAAGAAAAATGTAAATGCTATGGAGAAAAGAATTTAATCCAAGCAGTATCAGTCTTAACACATCATTAAGTTATACAGCCTTTATCCGATATATGCGAACTGTAAATAAATTTCTGCACACAGCATTTTCAGGAACAATTTTAGACGACAATGTAATTGACAAAGCTTGAGTGAACGGAAGCAATGAGGTTATATCGCACAGCGCATACGGTTGCGCAAAGTTTTTAAACCGCATCCGGCGTAACGTATAGATTCACAAATTAATGAAAATTCGCGGTGAATAACAACTAATTAATGACAACTAATTAATAACAACTAATTAATTAAGCTGATAAAAATTTTTCTTCAGATATTTCGCGATTAAGAACGGATCTGCTTCAAGTCAATAAGCACATCAAATCCGTGTTTCTCAAAATTCTACTTTAAAACTGACGCTTTAGACATTTTCATGTCCGCGAATTTACTCTACATAGAGATGATATACACGTCACTTGGGAGACTTTTTTAGGTACATCAGAATTGCTGTTAATTAACGTCAAGTGGGGTTTAATAATTTCCTAGGAAGCAATTTTTCTTAACTGAGAACTGAGAAAACGCAATAAAAGGGAGATGGAAAATGATGAATTCAAGAAACTTGTAGAAACTATCATAAACTAAGAAACATGAAAAGGGCTGGATTGTGCGCAGTAAAGAGCATTATATCATTTGCAATGACCAGAAATCTTTCTCTTCATTTCTACGTGAATTGAAAACAGTCAGCAACAAGCATCAGTTCGTACTTCTTTGTTTGTAAGAAATTAAAGAAGCTTTCCTTCAAGAGAAGTGTAACTGAATATGAGAAAATTATTTCTGATAATGTCACTGAAAAATGGCAGCAATTCTCAAACGAAGCCAAGTTTCAGAGAAAAAGCAGGATTGCATCTAAAAAGGATTTTCTTTTTCATATATGTGTTGGGGGGTAGAAGGTGTTTGATCTGTTAGGAACATAACCAAACCGTTAATGAAAATATATGCTGTGGTTGTCTGGGTAATTAGAAACAGGTAGGTAACGATTTTTAGACAAGGTAATGTTAAATCACATATTGTAAAGCTAATGGCACGAAAACTTGATAATGTAAAATTCTTACTCGTTTTACCTGAGTCTAGTGATAGGCTTCTCTAATTATTACTTGTTTAAATTACAGATTTTATGTTTACTAACCTAGTTATCCTATTATTTTGGCTTTACTATTACTTCTACGTTCGTTAACTCCTACCAGAAAGCTAATTAGTTACCCATGTAAGTGCAGAGTTTTTGAGTCTGACAGAGAGTTTTTCAAAGACTTGCTAATTCTCTATTCTGTTTATATTTTCTAACGACTTAAATCGAGTGATTGGCTTTAGCTCTGCAAGCCACATTTGCTTCGTGAATATTCAGTTCCGAGCCAAAACTCCTTTAGGCGCGTGATACTTTATAATTCATGTTTTAATTTTACTTTCAAAGTCTGTTCTGCATTTTGCGCAAGTAGTAGAATTAAGTTCTTTTTTTGTGTGTGTTGGCTTCATACAGCTTGATAGACTGATGTTTAAATAAATAGGTTATACTAGATGTTTAAATAATAGATCTCGAAAGAAACTAAATACAAAAATACAAAAAGAAAAAATATTACTGCTTAAAAATAAAAAATAGAGTAAAATTAAAATAAAAAATGAATATTTTAGATAAAAATCATGTGAATTTTACAATAAAAATACGAAGAGCCAAAATATGCTAAAACGTTCCGAAAATTCTTAGTTTCTAAAGAAGCACTGCTTGCTCTTTGGCAAGGCCGTATACATACGGACTAGAATATTTTTTGTGATATCTGTAAGAACGTATATATGCGTGCATATTAAAATACGAGTATGTCAAAGAAATTAAGGCAATAATATATCAAAAGTACACAAATCCAGGTATGTAATAGCAGGAGAGTTTTTACATTAAAAATAAAAAAATAATTTGTTCTCATAGTAGTTTTCGGAAATTTGTGCTTTTTTAGCGAAAACTCTGGCTCATGGGCTTAAGCTAAAAGCACGTATGAAACTTAATGTCTTTCTCCGAAATGAAATTGAATGAAAGTTAATTACTCTGCAATTGAAGAAAAATTTTTTCTGCGATACAATTTCAAAAGAATTAGTCATGGAATAAATCCTAACAACAACTAAGATTGAAAACATAAAAATATGAAAATATTATTTAATGTTTTTAAAGGGGAAAATGCAGAAACATTATGCTCATGAAAGCGAGTACTGCGAAAAATTGCGCAGTTTAAATTTTAGCATCATACACTGTGAAGATGTGGGAGGAAGAAATACAGCGTATTTACCATCAATATCATAAATAAATCATTGCACTGAAGTGAGTAAACGACCTGTATTTTAAGATTAATGGCCTTGACATTGTACTTATAACGTATAAACCAAGCCAAAGTTGTTTAACTAAACAAGGTTGTTTAAAAACTACTTTTTAAGTCAAGGTTGCTGTGTTGGGGAGAAATTGACATAAAATAACTGTTAGTTATTGAGAAGAATAATTCAAACTGGTGAAAAGTAGGACTTCCAAAATAGTATGTAGAAGTTTGGGAAAGCCATATAAAATGGTTTAAAATGGTTAAATATTCTAGCAAATGTTACGGAAATCGAAAATAGTAAGACAAAAGAATAGAGTCTTCACGCAATTCGGATTCATTGCATCTAATGAAATGAATATCAGATGTGTTAATAACAGTATACAGCCAGAATAATTTATACTTAAATTCTACACTAAAAACGAAATAATTACAGCATTAGCAAATCTCTAATTTTAATTATCATTCTACTTTACTCTCCTGTTTAAGGTTTGGAATAGCGCGATCATTTCGTAATTAAAAATAATCTAATATCTATATATGTTATTATAATTATAATTATCTAAATTTGTTGTCATATTGTTTAAAGCATTGCTATAAAGCGGGGAGTATTATCATTTTACTCAACTGCGGTAACTGATTAGCGCCCATATCAAATTAGCACTAAACGTGTTTTTCCTAAAATTAAAGTTCTCAAAAAGTTTTCATATCTATGAGTTATATATTACAGGTAATAAATAATCAATAATATGAAAATAAAAGTATAAAGAATTAGCCTTTTTTTGAAATAATATAATAAAAAACTGAAAATTTTATTGCTTCGACTGAATTAGGACATCTATCTAGTCTGTGCGCGATAGATAGCGTGATAGAATAAATAATATTATAGCTTTTTCACTGAAATAACAAGAAAGATCTCTATCTGTTTTTAAAGAGCCTGTTAGCACAGCTAATCAGCTTGTTTAAAAACTTATTTTCTTGTAAATTCGAGTGCATTCAGGGCCCATTTCAGATACATCTGAATCTAAAGCTCCATTTCAATCTTGTTCCCTTCAAGGGAATTTTATTGACTTGTCGTACGATAACGCACTGAATACCTTCAACTTAATTGTTTTTTAAATGTCTGAAAAACATCCGGTATTAAATGCGAAGCAAATCTTTCTATCCTCTGGTGACTTTGTATTTAAAAGAAGGTGGGTTTTGGTGATGGAAGAGACATGGGAGGGGGGAGGATTTCATGAAAAAACTAACATTGAAGTTCACATGAAAGTAGCCGTTTACATCGATTTGAAAATTTCAGAAGATAACATGACTCTGAGTCGTTTTTGAATAAAATGACCAGAATAAAACGAAATAAAATGAATAATAAAAAACAAAACAAAATCTGAAATGTTTCAGATTTTAAATTACGTCCAAAGGGGCGTTTTTTAACATTTTGTGTGTTACCTTTCTTTATTAAATATCATGTTCCTCGCACTTAAACCATAAATTCCAGGGCAACAGCATATCGCAAAATAGTTTAAAAAACGAGCATATCTTAGAATTCCGCGTACAGAAGACTCACGCCGCGGAGATATTTTAAAAATGTTTTGCACAAACGTTGCCATTGCTGGCTTTGAAATTCTTGAGTTTGTTAATCCAAAAATTCGTCCAAAAGTTTTTTGTAAAAAAAAAAAGGAAATCGATCATAAAACAAATTTCAAATTGCAAATTTGGTCTTCCACATGCTCATATTCATTGGAGGGGATTACGTTATTCAAAATTCGATGACTCTATGTTATTTTTTTAAAACAATAACGAGAAATATACATACATTTATTGCAAGATTTTTTTCATTATTTAATTTCAAATTATTGGCAGACTTTAAAATTTGTGGCAACAGTTTGAAAAGTGAACCGACATTTATGAGTCTGACGCAAAATGCCAAAACGAAACTAATAGTCCTTCGGGATTCAAATCCCTTTGGACTAAAAAGGAGTCGTTTTATACCTTGACAAAACAGTGCTTTTATGCTGCCCAAACGTGATAGTGGTTAGCAATGCTGACTGCCATACCGAATGGCCCGGGTTCGAATTCCTGAGAAATCATGCTTTGCGGCATGGGGGCACTCTAATTATGCGGCGAGCCGAAAACCCTCTCGAGAGGTTGTTGGTAGGGTAAGTGGGGTGGAAGACTCTCGGATCCGATCTCCATCAAAACTGGGAGGGGCGGAACTGAACAAAATCGTAATATCACCTGTAGGGTGCTCAAGGCTCTGGCCAACGATAAAGGCAATCTTGCGCTCGTTACCACAAAGATTTTCGTGGTCTTGTTCTGATGTTATTGTCAGACAAGTGAGATAAGTCAGAACACAACAACCACAATGCTTTTATTGTGAATGAATATTTTATCATTGATAAACTGGCGCTAAGCGCGTGTATTTTTAATGAATTTTTCATTTTTGATACCTGAAGAAAACAAATGCAGCAACATGGAGGCAAGAGAAATAATGAAATGTGACGTGTTCAGGATGAAAAACCCTATTCAGAATAAACCAATTTTTGCTCAAGT